TAGAAAAAATTGAGAAATTTCTCAGTTTTACACAACCATTTTTTATGAAAAATTCTTAGTTTTTGCACACCCATTGAAAATTGCACGGTGAGAATGAACTACCTCTTTCGGGGAAGAAGTGATCTTGGAGGTGTAGTTTAATGTAATCGAGTCCCACTCAATTAAAGGACAAATCCAGTTGAATCTAGAATCATCATTTTTCACCAAGCTCGCGTAGCCACCAATGGCGAATGATGAGGGATTGGGTCTGAAACCACATCATCCATGATGAGGATGAACTTAGAATGTTGAATATTTGGTGGGTACAAAGAGACAGCTTCGAGGACTAGTGATTGAATATGGAAATCGAGAAGACGATCTTTGATTTGGCATGGTGGAGAAGAACGAAGATGGTGTGGGAGTCAAGGCATGTGTTGACGGTGTGATAGATAAGGAGAGAACCAAAGTCAAAAAGCTTGGGCTCTATTTTTTTAAATGTGAGAGAGAGAGTCTGAAACCAAAAAAAGAGAGAGAAAACAAATGAGAGAGAAGGGAATGTTTGGTTGTTATTGTTGGGGAGTGGCTGTAAAAGTAAGAGAGAGAGAATGAACACAACAACTTACTTTCACATCAAGCATGCAATAAGACATCTGGCAGTGATGGAGTATGTCTTAGAAGGGTAAATTGAGGGTAAATTGATCTATTAAAAATTAATGGGACTTGAAGGAGCAAATAATCTTATTTAAGACTTAATGGATTATAAGTTCACAATATAAGACTTGTATGTAAATGTGCCTTTAAATAACACCGTAAAGCCCATAACATCCTACTTTGGGAAGTGGTCATTGCCTATAGTTTGGGTAAAAGTAACAAGTTAGGATTAGATATGGGGCATTCTATATTCCACTTTCTATTTTTGGTTTATATATATATATATAATATTAAGCATGCAATTTATATGGTGTAAACAATTATATCACACATTTTTTTAATGTCTAAATTATCTTTAGGCAAATTTTTTATTTCAATTTTTGACTTTTTTTATTCACGTTCATTTTTTTAAAAAAAAATAATAATAATTACAACTGCATGTTTCTGCACAAATATTACATATGAGCTCAACTTCTAGTATATAAACGATGGTGTTACACATATTAATTAATATATCAATTAGTGTATCAGCATATATTATGACATTATCACTTTAAAATTATAACCCCACTCATTATTCACATCATCTGTTAATATACTAATTGATATATCAATTGATACATATAACATTATTCATATATAAAATGAGTCTCAACTAAATAGGGATTTTGGAGAGAAGCTTTCTATTATCAATGCATTTTTTCTCAATAACATCAAGTGATAAGTGGTCATTGCCATAACATTTGGGCCCATAGTTTGGACAAAAGTAACAACTTGGGTTTTAGCATATGGGCCACTACATAGTCCACTTTCTGATTCCAATTTTTGAATTTTTGTTTTCTTTAATCTTCTCTAACTATCTCTCATTATTAGATAACAGTTACATAAAAAAGAGCTTTGGATTTTCCCCTATTTCAGGCATTGACCAGAATATATATTTGAGAGAAGCCTTTCTCTCCTCATGAATTTTTCCTCTATAACATCCCAGGTTGGGCCCATAGTTTGGATAAAAGTAACGACTTGGGTTTTAGCATGGGCCAGTCCATATAGTCCACTTTCTATTTACATTTGGGTATGTTAATTCTTTCTTTGGCCTTTTTATAAAATGATAATTTATAATGGTGAATTATTTTTTTATTTGTAACGAATTTTTATTATTATTTTAACAAATCATTTTATCAGAATCATTTTATGATTGTTTCTTTGGATTAGCTTTATAGAAAGCACACGAATGCATATTCATCCTCAAAATAAAATTTAAAACAAGTTGAAATTCTTTCAAATTCAAATTTGAATTTGAATTTGATGGTATTGTTCAAACGTAAAGGGCTCACCATGGGTACCAATTCAATACTACATACATTATTTATAAAAAAAATTAAATTGATCCGATAATGATAATATTTTTATTTTATTGTGTTTGTCTCTATAAAAATAGACGATAAGTATGTTTTTAAAAATAAACCATCCATTTATTTTTTGATTAGTGCATTTGTCACCGACTGCATTTTTTTCAATTATTTTTTATGAAGCCCCTATCAGCAATATTATGTGTAGATGAGTTTGCTTAATCAAAAGATTAGAAGAATCTAGTGCACCTAATATATGGAAATGAAATGTTTATTCATAATTTAGTAAGAATAAATGAGCATCAAATTTTGCAGACTAATTAAGAGTACCCCCCGATCACTTTCCATGGTCCATTTTTCTAGCAGAAAAATATGCACAGAATTGTTGTATAAAAATATACTTAAAAATATATATTTACGATTGAGATTGAACTCTTATATGATAAAATTTATATCTAAAATGAATCTGGTTTATCTGTTTGGTAACGTTTACGTTTTTAGTTTATATTTACAAAAATTTTATAAACTGGTTTTCGTTTATTTTTAGAAAAGTATAAACTACAAACGCGTTTGGTAATTGACAAAATATTTAAAAAAATTTAAAAGTATAAAAAAGAGTGAGAAATGGCAAGTGGTGGTAAGTGGTGGCGGAAGACGATAGTAGAAAGTGGTGACGATGAGTGGTGGGTAGCTAGTGGTGGTGGTGGCGGTAGGTGGGTGGGTGACGGTTGCGGGTGGTAAGTGGTAGCGAGTGGATGGTGGTGGTAGTAGTGGTGGGTGGTGGCAGGTGGATGGCGGGTGGGTGGCAGGTGGGTGGTGAGTGGTGGTGGCAAGTAGGTGGCAGGTGGTGGTGGCGGGCGGTGGATGGTAGTGGCGGGGGGGGGG